GCTTGCCCCCCCGCTGCGGGCTGTGGCGGGAGCCGTGGGACTGCCGGTGGCTGTGCAGTGCGTGGCCTTGCCGTGGCAGGAGGAGCTGTGCCTCCGGTTCATGAAGGAGGTGGAGACCCTCAGCCGTGGGAAGAGAGCGGCATAGCCTCCACGGTCCCACGCCTGCAAGGCCAGAGGCGAGGTGAAAGGGACGGCATTGCACAACTTCACTTTTGCAATCAGTCAGCAGTGCAGAGATTACAGCGAGGGGGGAAGGAGGAAGGAAAAGCCATTTCCTAACCCCCCTCCTTGCCAATAAGCACCCATCCTGTAAGGAACCAAGATGCCATGCAGAAGGCAGGGCTGGGTTCAAATGATGATAAATCTATGAACTGCACCTTCCTGGAAGGATGGACATGGATGGACCCTCACTTTCATCTATGCTGCCTCTTGCAGAAGTGGGGTGATGCTGAGAGAAAAGGATTACAAAAGCTCAATAGTAGTTTCTTGCTGGCACTGGAGTAACTTCATATGGATGTAACTATGGGCTGCCCTGTAAGGAATACAGCCATGTCTACCCTTCCCATCACTGCATTTTGCTCACAAAAATAAAAATGTAGCTATTAAGCAACTCTTGTCATAAACTCCAGTAATCCTTCACTGATGGCTATGATTATATGAATGCACGGTTATTACTCAGAATCATACACACACCTTCCCACTAGACATTAAACGGCACCTAGCACGGGAGCACTCACACCTCACTTCTCAGCCACAGCTTTCCTATCCGTGAGGGATGGCAACAGTCACTGGCCTTTCCATGGCACCAAGCTCTTTCCACCACCAGATCTCAAGCATCCCAAGCACACTTCCAACCTCACAGCAGGGGCATTCTTCGGAACCTATTTCAGTACCTCGGGCTGCTCTTTCTGAAGGTAGGAGATAAGCAAAGACAGATGCAGCTCCATTATGCAGATGATGACATCTTGGACAGAAAGGCGGAGGTCCCCAGATGGTGTTCGTTAACCCAAACCGGCTCATGTAGGATCAAAGCAGTCAGACAGGAGGGAGGGAGCAGCATCCACACAGGGCCATTTACCCCGTCCTGAGACGGATAGATAAATCGCTCCCTTTGATAAGACCTCTCTCTCTTTCCTAGATTAAACACCTCAGTCTCAAACAGATAAATATTCAGGAGACTCCACAGCAGGTCTTTCTCATTTATTCTCTAGGTTTGCAGTGAAAAAGCAGGCTTCCTTTCAGACATTTTAAAAAGAAAAATAAATACAAAGCAGTTTTGCTTTCCCTGGAAGTTTGGGGTATTTCCTGACAGCCAGCAGACATAGTCTCTCACCCCTTCTATATCCGACGTAATTTGCAGAAATACATAGGTCCAAAGTTGGCTGTGAGGTGAGGCAGAACAAGCTCCCCCAGCCGGCAATCTGAGAAGAAGGAAAATGTGTCCTGGAACAGTGTCCGAAAGTGGCTCAAGTCCTCAACGTGGATCCTGATGTTAAACTGGGTTTCTGCAATTTCTGTTGCTCTCTCGATCACATACTCATTCTGCAGTGGGGAGAGGGAGCACGTAGAATACACCACCTCTCCTCCCGGCTTGGTAGCGAGGACCCCAGCCCTGCAGGAAGGATTAACACACACACTGTAACGGGAAGAAGAGGGCTGTGTGGGACACCAGCATTCCCACCCACCAAAACTGGGAAGCCAGCACATAACTTGTAGGAGGCAAGAGACAAATCTCCTTGAACTCCAAAGGCTCAGCTGTGTCACTGCAACGTGAGGACTGTTTTAGACCAGGACAGTAAGGGTCAAATAGATGCTTAGATTGATAAAGTACTTAACATGGGAGAGACGCTACTGGAGAGCAGCTGGAAGGAGGGATTCCTCCAAGGGAATGGGATAAGAGTACGTACAGGGGAAGAGGCTCTTGCAGTTCAAGCGCTGCCATGGGACTCTCTAATCTGTTTCCTTATTGCCACAGCTGGCAGTCAGCCCATCCAGCCTTCCCAGCGAAATGGGGTGACAAAGCACTCCCATGCCTTCCCATGTGCTGGGGGATGTGGACACTCAGGAATCCTCCAGGGCTGACTGCCGGGACCTGGGAGATCATCACACAAAAGGATGACACTATACCCATCCTGTTCCTTAGACCCTCCTCCCTGCCTCCTATGGCTGCTGCTGGGGACAGGAAAGACATTTGATCTGACCGAGAACATTTGCACCTTCTTACACCTACTATGATTTGATGTGTTCAACTATTGCCATGCCAGAAAACTACACATGGTTTCCACATTTCCCAGTCAGGGACACATAAAGTAAGAAGAGGTGTCAGTGCTGGCCATGGAGAGCTGCTACCATAACACAAATAGCACCAAAACACAACATCAAGGTCACTCACATCAGCAGCTGCAGCTGCAGCATGGGCAACATCTGACGCTCCTTGGTTCGTCTCTTGTGGAAGATGTTGTTGTCCTCCTCCATGACAGAGTGCCTGTCCGTCGTGCAGGGAACATCCACCAGGACCTGCAGCAGCAGAGGTCCTGCATCAGTCCTGGGCCCAGGGCAAGCTCAGCGAGTCTCACAGCGCAACCTGCCCCTTGCCCGACTCCTCCACCCTTGCCACGCACCAAGCAGCTCTCGGTACCTTGCCTCGCTGATGCTGCCCGAGCGCAGGTGTGCGCCCACACTGAACTGTAACTCATTCGGCTGCTTTTGCATTTTGGGAATGTGCAAACAGACACAGAAATGGTGGATAACATCACACTCTCACGCATGTCCTCATTTAACGTTTCTACTCTGTGCGCCTTCCTGGTAGGCGTCACTGCAGCACCTATGGCTGCAACCACGCACGGCCAGAGCTCCTGCAGTGACGCCTCCCAGAGTAACAAACCCGGCTGGACATGGCTGAGAAACAAGAAGTAGCTGATCTTCACATTTAACCCCTTCCAGGTGATGGATTAGAACAGGATTTTTAAGGGGTACTACACAGGTTAATAAAGGTACAACTCCAGATGCCCATATGCACCAGATCCTGCAGGAAGAGTATAGCAGGAGGAAATATTACTCCATATGTGGCTTAGTCTTCTCTCTTTCTCTGCATTTAAGATTATGGAAAACTATACAATTATACTGTGGGATAAGCTGCTGCCTTCCTCTGAAACAGGAGAAAAGTGAACTAGATGGGTTTATCTTCACCGGCTCCCGATCACCTACCTTATGGAAAGTGCCACCTTGCAGCTGCCCCCAGTCCCTTCCATCGTAGGACGTGACACTCACACTTTCCCTAATTTCTTTGGGAACATAGCTATGGAGAATCTGGTACAGCCTCTTCGTCCGGGAAACAGAGACGTCATTGGCTGCCAGATGCCCTAAGAGGACAAAACAGGCATACTGGGAATGTCACTCTTGCAAAAACACAACTGATTTTGCACCCTCATAACCAGAAATTATTAATGGTCAGACATTAAGGGGGACAGCGCACACTCCCAGCCCTGTTTTACGCACGGGAAGAAGGAACACCCACCTCCACTTACCACAAACCCCAGTCTGCAGCAGAGCCAGAGTCTTGCCACCCGGAGCCGCACAGAGGTCGAGGACAAAGTCATCCGGCTGCACGTTGAGCGCCAGGACGGGCAGGAGAGATGCTGCATCCATGAGATAATAGTCGAGGAGCCCCAGAACATCCGGCCTGGAAATCACCAGTTTGCGTAAAAAAAGCAAACGTGCGAGGGGAAAAGAAAACAGGAGTTGGGAGTGAGGATGGGGGCATACAGAAGCAGCAGGTGCTCATACATGTGGCCCCCGGGGCTGGCAATGACAGCGGGCGGTCTGTCCCAGGGACACCTCACCGTGCAGGGCGAAAGCGCGTGATGTCACCCCTGGGGAAGGTGTAACACTTGATGTTGGAGCTGATGGAGGCATGAAGCGGTAGTGACATCTCTGCCTGCGTCATCGTTTCTGCCTGCATCACTGTCCTGCCCTCGCCAGACCCTTCCTGGGACCTGCTTTCCCCTCTCCCCGCTTCCTCCACAGCCGCAGCCCGCTGCGATTGCTGCGCCTTTTTGGGGGCTTCGGAAACAAAATCGGTGGCATTCAGCAGCTCCAGCTCTTGGGTGACGTGGTCGACAGGAGAGAAGTTGTTGAGGAGAGCGCCGTACTTCTGCTCGCAGAGCAGGCCGGCGCGGACAGAGGGCCACAGGTCCTTCAGCTGCAGGCTGTAGTTCACGTCGAAGTGGTGCAGGGCCAGCCGCGTGGGCGGGATGCGGGGGGCTGTGGCAGCCTCGGGGGAAAAAAATACCGGAGATGTTAAAAGACAAAATGCCTTGACATCCCAGTGTCCCCCTCAGCCTCAAGGTTTTTCTGGGAGAATCCAGCACCGTGTTCTGTGCTGCCAAAAGCCCCTGGGGCCTTGCTGCAGCCCCAGAAAGTGACCGTGCCCCCGACACCCATGGGCTGGTGGTCCCCTGGGGAGGGGTCAGGACTGGGAACGGCTGAACGGGGCTGGGGGCGCGGGGTGGGCATGCCTGGAGGGGAACGGAGCGCTGTAACGGGGGCGCAATGGGTACGGGGGTGCTGCAGGGTGCAATGAGAGGTGCGAGGGGGTGCCGCGAGGGGATTAGAGGGCTGCAATAGCAATGGAACTGGGGTAAAATGGGGAGGGAAAGGGGGTGCAAAGGGTGCAACGAGGCGCGGAACGGGGAGGGGAGAGGCATAAGGAAGGTGGGACGGGGGAGAGGAAGGTAGGACGGCGGTAGGAAGGGGCGCAGCGGGGGCATAACCCGCGTGTAAGGGGGAAAGAGGAGACAGAAGGGCGGGGGCAGCGGGGGAACGATCGAAGGAAGGGGTG